TCAACTGCACGAGCTGAGTGCACTCAGACACACACACACACACTGTGAGGGAGCGATCTGGGGTGAGGCACGCAGGAGCGCTGCCTCACCTCGTCTCTTTGAATAGGAATAACGGGATTTCGGCGATTTTGACTTCAGAAATGATCAAAACTGATGGGAACCGTGCCGAATATACATTAAAAGCATAGGACAGTGGATATAAATTATATATTTAAACTAAAATAATTATTAGTTTCCAATAATGGCAGGTGAGGCTCTGCCTCCCCTGCCTCCCCTGACTGCACGTCCCTGTACTGCAGTGTCCTGGTGCAGATCTTGAGTGGCAGAAAGTGGACATGAACGTCACACACGTAGCAGTCTCTTTAATCAGAGACTGGTGTTTACACCATAACACTAAAGGCCAATGTACTTCATAAGACTTACACACTTGTTAATGCACCCACTTGAAAAAACATAAATCAGCACAGCTGCTGCTGCAGTGCTTCTTGTTCTTGACATGTGGACCGAGCAGAACCCTCTCTGACCCAGGATCTTTTAAAAGTGAGATTACAAAGAAAGCATGAATATTTATCGTCAAGCCACCTCTGCAGTGTACAGCACCAGAAGAATTGATTTCAGATTTAATTTGCACACCTTTATTTCAGTGCATTTCATCTTTGTACTAATTCCCACACAACCAACATTTGCATAGAAGTGATGTGTTCACAGGCAGTTAGCACGCTGTAGAAGAGGAAAACCAGAACCTAATTACTATGTCTTTGTGCCTAATATTGTATTTTTGTCTTTATATTTTAGATCTGTGTGCAATGTTTGATTCTGTGGTATGTTGCTTCAGATTATTTTAAGTCATACTGACCTTTGTTGGAAAAGAGCACTCACTACGGGGGACATGGGATAAGGGCCATATCACAAATGCCGGCAATCACATTCAAATCCACTTCTATTTGTCACTGTTATACATGTTCAATGTAGTTTTATATTCAAATATCAATTAAATAGAATCATTTCTGTTAGTAATCTCTATAGGGTCAGGGTAGTGAAGCGGATGTGATGCAGATGGATTCATATTTTGTTTGGTCCAGATTTTCCTTGTTTTTGTTGTTGTTGCACCATTTAACATGGAGCTGAACAGATTCAAATGTCACGTCTTTCCACAGGGACACTTCAACAGGAGATGAGACAAGATATCACGTCTGACAAAATCCTATGAGTTTACATTTTCCCAAGACTGAGTGCAAGGGGAACATAAACTTGCGCTATTTTGTTTTTCATAAATTACATTCAGCCTATCGTTTGAAATCAACTTTTCCACTAACAATGGGTGATAAGAGAGGTGATGAAGACAGATGTCCGATTGCCAAAGAGCTGATTAAGTATTTCAAAGCATGCATTTGAAAGTTACAGTCATTGCAATGATATTTTGATGAAGGACATCAAGGATTCAGTGCCATGGAGTAGCCAGTGAACAAAATACAGTAACACACATACTGTACAAATGGATATCTTGGTCAATAGTCTCAGCCAAGCATAGCAGGGAGGGGGATGACTATTATGTCTGTATACAGTATGTGTAGGCTCAGGATCATGAAGACACAGAGTCTGGCCTTGGGGAGAAGATAACACAGGAACACAGTTGGACGAGTCCACTGGATAGTAATTTTTACACAAGGATGAAATGATGGTTTATGCCCTAATTTAGGCTGGAATACTGTCTACTTTTATTCAGTTACCCTCGTCATTATCCCAATCCCAAAGTGTACATTTATCAAGAACCCTTTAAGTCTATAAAAGTATAGTATTGCAATGACATAAGAAATAAACACGTTTCAGGCTAATCTTATGTATAAATATTTAAAAAACATGAAAATCTCAAAGTGTCCATTTCTTGTGGTCCAAACCTCAAGATTTATTTAATTTAGACATGTGTGTTTCCTCTTATTCCTTTCGCTCACTTTTCCTCCTGAATCCTGTTTGTGGGCGTGGTCATAATACATATTTTTCCCCTCTCTTATCATGGTCTACATATGTGGAGGGTGAAAAAAGAACAATTAAAGCCGCACGGCTGCTGGCCTGCATCTACCAAAATCTACTTTTTTACAACTTCTGTTGATCATAACAAGCTCAGTGATCTTATGACATTAATGTCAGTGTTTTTGATGACAATAAAAGTCTTATCTTATCTTTGAGCAGCTGTGTGTTACTCACAATAGGTTCTAATATATTTCATATTATTAATAATAGTTATCATCATCTTCAGACTTCAGTCAGTCTTTCTTTGTCTCTCACTGGACAGATACAGTCACACAACGTGACTGTACAAGCTTGTTGAGGTTCCTTTTCTCTGATACAAGCCAGTGATTATTAAATGACTACGTTCCATTGTCTTGGAGATGCAATAGGAGCCCACTCATCCAACCAGAGCCCATGGAACTGCAATCATTTAGTACAACCGTTTTTTTCTAAGGCAAAATAAGGACAAGGCAAGGCAAGTTTATTTGCATAGCACAATTATATGCAAAATGTGCTTAACAATATAAGATAGAAACCATCACACAAGGCATAAATAATCAAAAACAGCTAAGCATAACTTTTTTTAACCTGGATTTGAAAATAGTCAGAAAAGAAGTCTGTCTTACTTTTTAGGGAGAAAAAAGGCAACCAAAATATCATGCCAACTGATAATATTTAGCCTATTCAAGTATAATTTGAGAGCAATATAATTATTTTTCATTTCATGTATACATGTATTCATTATTTTTGTTAATAAAAAACAACTTTCTTTTGTTTATATTTCTCCTAATTTATAGTTTATTGATTTATAGATGTATTTTGTCGCTGTAGACTGTGTTTAATTGGGCTAGGGGTTGATTTTTTTGAGTTACTTAAGACTTGGTTCATGTGACGCCGACGAGTCGCTGCAAGTACGTGAAACTGTACAGGAGGGCAAGGGCTGAGAGGAGATGGCCGCCTGCAGCTGGACTTTGTGCAGTTGTTTGTCTCACAATAAAACATGCTTTTGCAAAGTAAGAGATTAGGTGAGTGTAGAATAACAAATACAATAATCTTGTTAGGCCCTTTAACCTTTGTTACAGATAGAAAAGTATACAGCATCTCCAACACATCGACTTCTGCCTCGTGTTTTTCCTCTCACTGTACCTCTCCACATCCACTCTGCTGCTAAACACACAACAGTTCACACGCGGCAAGCTCTAAATTGAAGTGAGCAGCATGGAGTAGGCCAATTACATGACTGCCCCAATTAAAATAAAACAACAGGACTCTCTCAAGCTGTCCTGCAGGGGAGACAAAATGAAAGACGTCGAGCGATGGGGAAGAGCAATAACAAACCCTACTCCAGTCAGATCGTCCTGATGTTCATTTTAATTAAAAAATTGGATTCGTTGCAATTAACTCCAAACTATTCCCTTGTGGCTCAATAAAGATAAAGTGATTGGCTAACCATTTCAAAAGGATTTCATTTGTGCATTGACATCTATGTGCATTGTCTGCAGCATCTTGTGAATATGTTCTTTGTAAGAAATGCAATTGAGATTATGTAATTTGATTGTGTCTTTACTAGATGATATGAACATTGAGTGAGTCAGTGTGATCCATACTAGTACTTATTACCAATACTTTTTTTTTTCATTTTTTCATTTTTTTATTTATTTCATTCATTTAAAAACAAATGCAACAACAGCATTTACTATGAATGAAACGGAGCAGAAAGAAGTAAAAACTTATAATATCTGCCCCCTATCAACACAAAATCTTTGACAGTTCCAGTGCATTTGAGCCTCTAATGCAACTCTGGCAATTCCAAACTCAAAACTCAAAACTCAAAACTCAAAACACAAAATAAAGGTTACTGATCCGTAGTGATGTATTTCTGCAACATTAATAATTTTACAGACTTTTTAAACACAAAATCAGACGAAGAAGTTTTGATTTCACACTCCAGACTGTTCCACAGATTGACTCCTTTGATTGAGATACATTTTTCCTTTACAGAAGATTGAAACCTGGGTTTATAAAAGATCTCTGTTCAAGTTGTCATGTGGATTACCTTTTAACTTTATTTTGAATACATCGTTTTAATTTGTAATTTGTCAATTTAGGTGTTTATATTTTTAAGGTGTCAGTCTTTTGTGACCTTGTTTTGAGTTATTCAGTCTGTCATATATGGCACTTAGGATGATTTGCAGACGTGCTAATGTGTGTCTGTGTATAATGCAAGTATTGAAGCATGTGGGAAGTCTTGAGAACGCATGGATTAGGGCCTCGATCGAGGCTGAGAGACTTAAGCCTGATGATTGATGCTCTGTCATGGGCCACTCCACACGTCATGATCTTATAGTCAGCCGCCGCTCGCACGCACACCCACACCCCCACACACACGCACACACACACCCACACCCCCACACACACACACACACACAGGACACACATTTAAAAATTGTAATATATTTTTTATTGTTTTTATATTTACCCCCAACCCATTCCAATTTTTTTTATTTTCCAGCCCAACAAAGCTTAAGGCATTTCTTAAAAATCTTAAGCTATACCAAAAGGCTTTGTTTTTGCCAATTTGGTTGTGATTTTTTGTTGTTAAGTCGAGATAACCCCCCATTGAAATCTTTGTTTTTGAGTTCTTCAAAGCTCAAGGCATATCAATAAAATATGCATTTTTACAATATGCCATTATACATTAAAATATTACATTATGCCATGCGATATTTAAATGAGCCTTGTTTTTCCCAATTTAATTTTCAAAATTCAATATTTTTTTTATCTTTTCCCTTTTTTGTTGAATTTTAGGAATGAAACCTTAATTTAATTTGGTTTTGTTTTGTTTTTCATGCCTGTTGTTTTTTGTCTTAATTATGTTTTTTTGTTATGTCCCCGGCCCTTCTGCGGTGACTTCCTACAGTGAGTGAAGGTAAACTAGGTAAACTACTACTACTACTACTAAGGTGGCCTCAGGCAGGAGTGACGTGCTCTTAACACGCTGATCTGAGGTATGCTCTCAGAGGACCAGGCGACACTCTGCTCTTCCTGGTCCTGAACATCTTAAAAACTTGAGAGAAGAAGCGTCCTGGTCGTCGGCCTCGGTCCTCGCCGAGGTCTTGGAGCTGGATGTTCAGATTTCTCACCGCTGCCTCCACAAACCAGTCACTCTGGAGCAGGGCGGAGGAGATGGGTCCCAGCTCTTCCCGGAGACTTCTCGCCACCTCTTTAGCTTTAGTTTTGAGGTCTTTGGTCTTCAGGTCTGTTCCCTGGGGCATGGAGACTCTTCACTCCATATCACGCAGTCGCAAAATAACTTTTCCTTGTTCCCTAATGTCCAGGGACACGGGGGATTTGTCCAAGAGCTTTCGGATCATCGTTGAAACCATGAAGTGAGCGGCATCGGAGCTGACGTCCTCTGTCTCTGGTGGGACGGTTTTCTCTGGTGGACTGACAGTTTCCAAAGGACTGTTGAAGACCTGGAGGTTTGGGGTTTCTGGAGCAGGAGGTTCTTTGATCAGGTGTGTTACGGTCTTGCACCAGACTCACAAGGTCAAGAGAAGAGATGAGGTCCAGGGACGAAGGACGATCCACTGAACTGTCCTGCTCCGGAGAAGTCTTAGCCACAGCGCGGAGGGTCTGGACTAGAGAAAGGCACCTCTGTGATTGGATTCTCTATGATTGGTTCCTCTGTGATTGGATTGTCTATGATTGGTTCCTCTGTGATTGGATTCTCTATGATTGGTTCCTCTGTGATTGGCTCCATGGGGACAGGCACCACTGTGATTGGCTCGTTTTGGACAGGCACCTCTGTGATTGGCTTCTCAGGGACAGGCACCTCAGTGATTGGCTCCTCAGGGACAGGCACCTCTGTGATTGGCTGCTTGGGTACAGGCACCTCAGTTATTGGCTCCTTGGGGACAGGCACCTCTGTGATTGGCTCGTTTTGGACAGGCACCTCTGTGATTGGCTCCTCGGGGACAGGCACCTCTGTGATTGGCTTGTTTTGGACAAGCACCTCTGTGATTGGCTGCTTGGGTACAGGCCCCTCAGTTATTGGCTCCTTGGGTACAGGCACCTCAGTTATTGGCTCCTTGGGGACAGGCACCTCTGTGATTGGCTCGTTTTGGACAGGCACCTCTGTGATTGGCTCGTTTTGGATAGGTACCTCTGTGATTGGCTCCTCAGAAACAAAATCCTCAGAGACAGGCTCCTCCAGTATTAGTTCCTCTGAGACAGGCACATCTCTGATTGGCTCCTCAGGGAAAGGCACTTCTGTGATTGGCTGCTCTGGGACAGGCACCTCTGTGATTGGCTCCTGTTGGACAGGTACCTCCATGATTGGCTCCTCGGGGGCAGGGACCTCTGTGATTGGCTCCTCAGGGAAGGGTACCTCTGTGATTGGATCCTCAGGGACAGGCACCTCTGTGATTGGCTCCTCAGGGAAAGGCACCTCTGTGATATGCTCCTCTGGGACAAGCACCTCTGTGATTGGCCCCTCGGGGAAAGGTACCTCTGTGATTGGCACCTTTTGGACAGGCTCCTCTGTGATTGGCTCATTTTGGACAGGCACCTCTGTGACTGTCTCGATTTGGACAGGCACCTCTGGGACGGTCTCTTCTCGGGCCGGTGGGGACCCCTCTCTCTGGGATGTACGTGTGTCCTTCTGGGCTGGTGCGACAGGATCTTTAAACTTCTGCCGGGCCTCGAGCTTTTCTGTCTCTCGCAGTTTGAAGACCCTCTGCTGGAAGAGGAGCTCCTCGGAGGGGGACAGCTTAGGGTTGTCCAGCTCCATCTGCTCTTTGAACCCCATCATGTGCAGCATCGCCTCTGCTGCCTCCAGCTTGGCCGTCTTCTTGTTTGGACCCACGCCCTGACAAGTCCTTTGGTCCACTCTGACCTCCATACAGAACTCTGACGTACGGTAGCCACGGTGTTGGAAGCCGACCACCCTGTACTCGGCCGGCCTCTGCTTCCGCACCATCAGGATCTCTGCCAGGGCACTGATGGGGTCTTTCTTGTAGAAGAAGTAGACCCGCTGTGACGGGTCCACCAGCTCCATGTGGGGTTTGGACCAGTAAGGAGTCACGTCCTCTGGCAAAGGACGCTTCCTCAGCTGATGCAAAACCACCTTAGCTGCACCTAGCTTGGCCTTTTGTTTGGTGGGGCCTGAACCAAATCCCACCAGGTCCCCTACTCTCAGCTGTATGTGGAAGGTCGGTGCATGGCAAGGGCCCTCTTTTCCCATCTCATTAAACTGCAGCTGGTGCAATAATGCCAGTTCATACAGGAGGGACAGGTCGGTCTTGTGGACTTCACTGGGGTGTTGCATGTTGTCTGTGTTAGTGTTTGCTTCTGTTTCTTTTAATGTGCTAAAATAATACACTGTTGTCGGACAGATATTCACTTTGGCCTGTTTACATCTTCCTGAGGTAACCTTTTGAAGCCAACATTCTAGAATGACTTCATAAAGACAAGCTGGGTTGCCATGACAACATAGCAACCGTTGTCAGGCATGCGCACAGAGTGACTTCTCTTTGAAAATGTCCTGTTGTTTTCATCCTGTATAATGTTTTATCAAATTGTTGTTTCTGTATTAAACTAAGAATAATATTTATTTTGTCGCCAGTGCGTGACTTGAGAACTCTGCCGCCGCTGGAGCTCTCGCAGGACATTTGCATGAGCGCCCCCTGTAGGTTCTGCTGTGACATTCAACAGGTCTCAGAGGTCTGGACGAACATCACGTTTCATTGATTTAATCCGAGTCTCGACAAATGAGCAAAGTATCATCAACAAAAGAATGTAATGTTGACGTGGAATATTTTAAACTACACGGTTAACCGGTTTCAACTGGCTAATGAGGTTTGGTGGTCGGTCATGAGAATTCATAGTTTTTTTACATCCCTACTCCATAGTTCATCCTCTTTTTGATTATCTATGATTGAATGAATCCTTTATATCAAGCATAAAACAATACAATTTAAATGTATCACAAACTTGTGCTATCCTAAACATTATAGTAAACAATAAATATGAATCAATAAATTACAAATTTTCTACAATAAAGTTACGCTCTTCTAGAAACAAAGTTATATCTTTACTGATCTTTGGCTCAGTAGGTTTCTCACAGTTCACAAAGTCCTCCCAAATCAAAGAGTTTATCAGTATTTTGACCTGGGTTTAAGTTCAATAGTTTTGACTCTGATAGAGACCAGAGAGAGAGACCATAAAGAGACCAGAGATAGACCAAGCCAAATAACGTTGTCGCAGGGCTTCTACAAAACATGTTCTGGGTTCACCACAGACTTGAGAGGCTGCAGTGTTTGCTGAGTTTTGTCATTTACTTCAGAAGCTGCGTACGGAGGAGTTTCGCTTTCAGCGGTACTTCCCCAAGTCACTTGCCCAGTTTGAGTACCCGCAACCCGGAGCTCGCCTCTCCCCGCCTCTCTCTCCCCTCTACCCGCCTGAAGCTGCCTCGCTCCCGGTCTGAGCCCGACTCATCGTCAGCTTCTTCTTATATTATATAAATGAGGTTTACTTCACAGCATGTGTACAATGATTTTGTTACGTACTTATTAACTTATTAACGTTACTACTCATACAAAAATATTACTTTTAAGAATACTGACAATAAAGCAGCAGCAGCAGCAGCTACATGACTTCTCTCCATGACAGAGACAGACCCACTGCTGCTGCTCCTCGTCTCCTGATTGGTTGAAGCCCGCGTTGAAGCCTCAAAAGCTCAGCTTTGCTCAGCTTCGGCGTCAAGGGAAAATCCCTTGACGCCGAAAGAGACGCGAGCGTTACGCGCGTCAAAAGCTTCAAGTGGCGTGCGTATTACTCGCGACTTTTGAAGCTTTTGACGCGCGCCAAGTGACGCCGGGCCCCTTGGCCGGGCGGGGAGGAAGGCCCCACTGAGAGAGCCGCTGAGAGAGCTGCTGAGAGAGCCGAAGGAGTCGCTGATGCGCTGGTTGTGCGATTGTCGCACACCAACTTACTTGCTTTTCGCTCGTTTGAAAACTTAACACTTTCAATCACCTGTCATGGGTGGAGAAAACAAAAAGCGGTGTTATTTATAGTTTTATACCGACCTCCTGGTCCTTACAACAAGTTCCTAACAGAATTCTCTGACTTCATTTCAAACCTAGTTTTGGAATGGGAAAACATAGTTATAACTGGAGACTTCAATATACATGTGGACGACAGCACCGACAGCTTAAACAAAGCTTTCAGCGCCGTACTAGATGGTGTTGGTTTTACTCAGAATGTTGAGGAACCTACTCTTCATAACCACACATTGGACCTTGTCTCAAATATTGACGTCCAGCGTCAAAGCTCGTTGCTGTCTGATCATTTCTTGATCACGTTTGATCTCGCTTTGGGGGACTGTCCTGCGCCGCAAGATAAAACCATAATGAAAAGAACCTTAAATGATAAATCTATCACAAGGTTCAAAGAACTAATACAGCCAATGTTGAATACTGCTGCAGGTGAACCTGCTCACAGCTGCTGCAGTCCCTCAGTCATTGACCAAACGGTGGACAACACCAGAGGCGTCCCGTGCCAACAGGCAAGGCAGGCCGCTGCCTGGGGCCCCCAAACCGGCAGGGGGCCCCCGAGGGCCGACTAGACACAAGCGGTCAACTTGTACAGGCTACAACAGCTACCTGCAGTCACGAGTTGGTGGATAAAAACTTTTCGTCTGATGCAAAACTTGCCACGTTTTTCATTAACGGATAAATAGCCTGCTTGGGGCTTCTCATTTCATGTGTTAACTAGTGGCATAGTGGTTAAGTTACTGCGCTGCCGCTCCAGTGGCCTGGGTATGAATTCAGGCGGGAGCGGGATGGCAGTCTGAAATATTTCTATTATATTCAATGACAGATTGCTCAAGAACGGTAAAAGATAAAAACAAGCTGTTTTTTGCAGATTAAAGTTAGAAGCTAAGATCTTGTAGGATTAATACACGTTGATAGGTAGTTTTTGTAATTAATTATAACATGTTGAGTGTAGTGAACAAGCTTTTAAAAAGACATGCTAAATTATTTCTCATTGCTTTGTGTCACGATAAGTACTGAAGTACTCACTATTTTCTATGGCAGACTGTACAGTACTGTACATTTTTGTTTAGCAACGTCGCTAAACTCACAAACTGCCATAGCGCAATCGAGGCTAAAATTCCAAGCTCAATGAGCAGTGTCGGCTTTTTCCATTTCTTTAATAATAAAATTACACGGCTGTGAGCCAAGCAGAAGTGATCTCTGTGGTCACATCTTCT